TCCAGTCGGTAGAACCAGAGCTGCGCCTCTTCTGATAGGTGGAAGGCGGCCAGACTGACCTTATCTTTGTCATCAGTGCGCTGATTACGGAAGAATTGTTCGAGCAATACAGCCATCCTAACGGGTCTCTGGTGCCGTTGTAAGATGGGAATTCCAGCCGGCTATACTTGGGAATAACTGCGGCTGTCGGGGCAGCGATCTGCTGTTCGCTAGACGTCTCTGCCCAGTCCGGACGGTGATTGTTTGTGGTGGCGGTTCCCTCAAAACTTCTGTCCTTGTTGGAGAGGAATGCTTCCAGCAGGCGTCACAGCTCCCGGACATCATCCTTGACTTCACGAACCCCCATGCTGGTTTTTGCGAGCCTATGTTCCAGTTCGTGGACCCTGGAAGACAGCGGCTCCTGTTCCCCCATGATGGTAGGCTCTGATACCAGAATGTTATGGGCCCGGGCATAGGATCTCGTCACGGGTCGGTCCACGGGAAGAACCTCTTGCTTCCCCTTGCGCCTTCCCTTGCGTGCAGACCCTATTGTGGAAAACCAAATGGGTGATTTGTCCAAGAGACCACCCGAACTCTCCTCACTCTTCTCTTGACCGGAAACTGAATACTTTATTCCCCAAATCACAGCTCCTTAAATAGGAGATTACAAGAGGAGACTCCTTACTCCATTCGACTAAGCTAGGACAATCCAACTTTAAATCAAACTCCTACTTCTAACAGACTTCTAACAGAACTCCGTTCTTATCTCTAATAGATAAGTAAGAATAGAACTAGATAAGTAAGAACAGAACTCCTACTTCTAACAGAACTCAGTTCCTATCTCTAATAGATAAGTAAGAACAGAACTGGAATAAGTAAACTATTGGCGAGCTGGCAAGAAGAGCTGACGTGGCAAGATAAGCTGCTGTGTGGGCTCCCCCTCACTGCTGCTGCCGGCGGCGGTAATTCTTCCCACGAATGCATCCACAACAGATTTACTAAGCCTCATCGAAAACCAGAATTCTTGTGGCAGAAGGAACAGTCATTAGCTCAGATCCATCAAAAGTTGTAGGGCCCCAAATGCTTGGTCAAGGATGGTATAAGGTTATGGTTACTGTCCCAATATTGCCGGAACAGCCACTTGTTCGTCCATATGGCTCAATTAGAACAGTTGGAACAGCTGTTGGGGTGAATATTCCTTGGCTATCTCTATATGTAAGATATAGAATTTTGAGTCTAATTTTATCAATGAGCTTTTATGTTATAGTTAAGATATTTATTCAACCGGTTAAATGTTTTTGTTTGTAGGTTAAACCAGTACAACGTTGAGGATTTAAATGATGGAAAAGTTTATTAATTTCTTATTTATATAGTTTCTGTTTACTTTTGGCTTACATGCTTTTTGTATTTTCTAAGACAAGTTACATTGGATTTTATATTTTCTCAATTTAGTATGTTTGTTCAATAGATGGATTTGATTTTATTTATTTATTGTTGGTCAAGGAAAAGGAGTTGAAAAAATAATTTCCTAGGTGTTGGAACTGTCTATGATATGGAAACAAAACCACGATCTTTCTTTGAAAATATTCAGTTAATAACACTGGTTGTCTTCTCATAGCTCTCATTTGTGATACTAATAGTTTAAAGAAAGTGTAACACAATTTGCACGGGAGAATATTGCTCCACATGCATCAAAAGGGGATAGGACAAACCACTTTTTCAGAGGTCTATCCAATTGCTCCTAAAGCAGTACTAGGGGTCTTGCTAACCTAGACAGGTTAAACCATGTCTAAAGGCATGTTTTTTGCAATTTTTTATTCAACACTATTGCTTACAATGAATCTCTCCTAATCAAACACTTCCCTCATTGGCTTTTTTTGATATGCAGATTTGTCTTTGACTAATAGTATATTTTTGCACTGAACTCAAATCCAAGACATGTGGGGAAGCACAATGAATGGCTGATTATGCTTGTGGGAAGAACACCTACTGCACAAACTCCACTAATGGCCCTGGATATCTTTGTCATTGTATAAAAGGTTACCACGGGAATCCTTATCTCCCCAATGGATGCCAAGGTATGAGTTCACTTCTTAGAGTCCTTTTCTGCTTATGAAAATGCAGCCAAACCCTGGCAAATATTAGGACTCTTTAAGTAGAAGAATCATGGGACCAGTATGAACATGTATTAATAAATCCTCTGGTCCAATTTGTGCTACCTGATATTGTAGTGAGATTAGCCATTAAAGCTTATAGAGAATTTTTCTTAATTTCACAAGTTCTATTGGGAAAGCATTATAGGGCAGTTTATTTTACCAAAAAAATTATAGGACCATTTGGTTTACTAGAATAGGGGTCTGGAATCGGAATGAGAATGGGCCATTTCAACTGTTTGGTTGGGCGGAATTGGAATCCTATTCCCATTCCTGGTGGAATGACATTCCCTCCTCCTCCCTTGGGAATGAAATCCCATTCCAGCTAATTCCCATTTCCATTCCGATTCATGTCTGAACTAAACAGACTATGGGAATAGATCATTCCAATTCCATTTCAGACTATGAACCAAATGGACCCTATAAAGGGAGGTCAACACTTGGGTCCTTCAGGGGTATTAGGCAATGCCTATGGGAGATCTTTGGGTGGTTTAGGCTACATGCCAAGTGTTTGGAGTAGCTAATGCTTTGTATTTTGCTTCTGCAGATGTAAATGGGTGTGAATATCCAAGGAATAATCCTTGTGTAGGCATTTGTACAAATACAATAGGATCTTTCTACTGCTGTTGTCCAAAGAATAGCTATGGTGATGGCAGAAAAGATGGTCAAGGCTGCACTTGGAAGAGTAAAGGCTTTCCTGTGATTAAGGTCACTCTAGGTAATCTTCTTTATCAATCTTGTTAATGGTGTTATCATCCAGGTATTTTAAATACATATGGTGCATTATGTTTTGTTTGTTAGGAGTGTTGTGTGCTACTATATTTTTTATTTATAAAATAAATATTTTATTAAAAGAAAAGGTTGGAAGCACAAAAATAAGCAGCCCAGCAAAAATTAGGCCAACAAAACATACACAAAATAAGCAACCCACCGACCAAAAAGACCCGGTCCGACCCAACAAACAAAAGGCAAAGCCTGAAATATACTCAGTTCCTCAAGATACTTGACCATACCAGACAGTCAAACACCCTAAGGAAAAGCACCTCAGCCATACCCAAGCTCCTAGCCCCAGGAAAGCACCTGTTCTATGTTTGTCTTTTACCTAGAGCCTCTTTCTGAAAGGAAAATTCTCTTTTTGAGTAGTCAAAATGAGACAATTTACATTATATTAGTCTGTTCAAGTATTCCTCTTGAGGTCCAGGTCCTTCAACCAGTTTGTTTCAATATAATTATTGTTAGAACTTATAGCTTGAGATGAATCAGCAACTGGGACCCAGTAGTGTCTAGAACTAGCTGCTGAAATGCCAAGCTATTCTAGAAGCCCACCTAAGGCTCCCACTGAGAGAGGGAGTACATGGTTTTATATCCAATGGTTTGTAAAACAGAGGTTGATGGAGCCTCTGGTTTTACAGTTCCTTAACCATGAAGGAAGGCCCCTCTCTAGGCGGTTCGGGCTCTACAAATAGAACCCCATACACACACACACACTAGCCATCCATCGGTTGAGAGCAACCGTAACTAGAGATAAGAGTCCCCATTGTACTCTGTTTTTCAGATTTTGCAGTTCAGCAAGGAGCAAAGTGTTCTCCGGTTCGTTTTCTTACAGAGAAGAGAGAGAAAAAATAACAAAACTGCAAGAGGTGTTTCTGGTCTCTAATGTCGGAATAGAGCCATGGATGCCAACTTCACATCAACAGCTCAAGGTCGGTTTTACTTATTTCAGTCCATTTCTAGAGCAAAGAATGCTTCTATAGTCATCATTATATCTAACAATTATTTCATGTTTTGAAGGTACCCATTGTTGTCTCTGTGTCACATGAAGCTGTATGCTTATACAATTGAAAGAGGGTAATTGCATCCAAGGGAAAGGAAGTAACAAATTTGAAAGTGCACCTACTTTTCTTCTACTGCTTGTGTGAGATTGTAGCTGGTGTAGTTGGCAGATTGCTTGGTCTTGGAGGAGGCTTCATCCTGGGACCCCTTTTTCTTGAACTAGGGATTCCTCCTCAGGTATGCCCATACATCAATTACTGTTAAAAAGGAAAAATAAATTTCCCACATGACAAGCTTTTTATAACTGACCAAAATTGATTACAATAAGAATTTAAGAATGAGACCCTTCTGCTTAGAAGGGGGGGGGATTCTGTATCCCGAACAAAGCCAAATTCCATTTCCAGCTTCTAATAATTAACCGCTTTACTACTTTACCTGTAATAGCATTACTGTTCCTTAGGGTTTCTCAGAAGAATTATTGGGAGAAATTCAATTATCTTATATCCTTGGGAGGTTTGCCATTTTGGGAGAAATTAGATTCTCCCAAAATTTGCAACTCTCACCACTAATGATATATTTGTATGTTATTCTGTCTGAAAACGAAACCTTAGGGTTTCTTCTCATTCCTGATAATCTTTTGGTTCACAGAGATAAGCTGTAGTTGTAACTTGTAAATTGTTTTGGTTTGACTTACACATTTTTGTTGGAGTTCTTGTTCTATGTAGGTCTCCTGCTTTCTGTTGGTGGCTTCCTTTCCTTCATGCTAACTGAAAGCATTGCTACCATTAGGTTTGGGGTTATTCTTGGGGGTTCTCTTTTAGCCTTAAGTATATCATGTTTAAGGTCGTGGAAAAAGGGAGAATAATTTACTCTGGCTTTGAAGGGGCAAGCAGGTTAGTGATCCCTATTGTTTGAATTGACTTCTATAACTAGTATCATATTCTTAGTTTATTTTATTTTTTTATCAATGGATTCCTTGAATTGACAATGTTGATCCTGCATGTTTCTGGTTTCTTGTGAGAATGTATTAGGTAAGTCTCTATTTTTTCTGTTCATTTGGTTATCTAAGATAGCATGCGGCTTTAATACATGGATGAAAGCAGGGACTAGGGAAGAAAACATTTAAATAGATGGATGGAATGAGGGTAGAAAAACATTTGAGTGCTGGTTGACCTCTGTGCCCATCTAACTAGCCTATGACAATCCAAGTTAATTTCCCTCATCATGCTGTCGACTAGTTTCTGCCACAAGCCTGAGGCTTTGCGGTAGTGCCTCATTCTCAGGTTAAGACGAGTCTTCTGATTCATGGAGCAACTGTTAAAATGAGTCTATGTGAGAGTCCATCCTCTGACCATCTCATCGATGCAGAAATATATGAAATCCTATTAGTGTGTAGCTATTGGACTACTTTGGTGGTGATGGACTGTAATAACTGGATACTTGTACATGCTTAAATTACTTGTGTTGGACGTGATATGTACCTGATAGGACACCAGATGATTCAGGAAACTTGTTTACTTCATAGTGTTAACATTTTATAAATATTTAATGTGGTATGATATATTTTAACAAATCATACTATAAAATGTGTATATTTTAGAAGTTCAATTTAATTTCCCAAGAGGGAGGTAGGGAGGGAGAAGGTTTGAGGACCTTTTCTCCCTCTTAGATGAACTATATACAAATCTGTCCCTTCCTACGAGAAAAGAAGTTGTCTGCAAAGAGTGTAGGTTTAACAACTGCAAGGCTGTCATTGAGCATCAAATAGGGTTATGAAATGTTCCAAATCCCTACAACACAAGTCAGATGTAACAAAGAGATAATAGTCTGCTAAATAATGTTCTTTACAAAGAAAATGCATTTCTTTTGGGGAGGGGGAGGGGCAGGGGAGTAAATGCTAGGATTTCCTTTTGCACTGGTACATTTAGTAAGTGTTAATATTTTGGTGGCTTGGTGCATATCTTCTTGGCAAAATATTCTAATTTTTGAAGGAATAGGTACTTATCAAAAAAAAAAAAAAAATTGAAGGAATAGGACATAGCCAAAGTGGTTTTACACAAATACTAATGGAGCTAAGAAATTTTCACTTAAAACCTTTAAGAGAGAGGAGCAAGTAACTGATCTAGTTCGGTCAAAATTCCAAATCTGACCATTCATCCTAGATGGGCCAAGAGAATCATCTGGTAAATAGTTAACAAGGGATGCAGTATCCAAAGTTGTATTTGTTAGGACTTCTTGTGATTGCTAAATTCTAATATAATCTTGCAGGAGAAAATCTGTACCATATGGATCTTCTTAGACCTTGCTATGGAGTTTCTTCTGATCCTATCTGGGTGCAAGTTGGGTGCTTGATTTGAAGAATTTACAATTTAAATTTCAACAAATTTTCAACTCAATCCCACCAAGTTGCATCTTTCCCATCGATACCTTTCTATAATGCTTGCAAGTAAACTTTTCTTTTAAACCATGTCAGTTTGTTCTGTTGCATCATAATATAGTATGCATTGTTATAGAGTTATTCTTTAAGTTGTTCTTATAGGGTTATGCACTGACTTTGATTTTCAAAAGAATAGAATATAGGTTGAAATTTGGCTCAAATGTCATGTTGATAAGGAGTACTCTATCTAATGGTATTGCTTATATTTCTATTTCTGTTATTTATTCTAGTTTATTCTTTGCTTTTTTTAATTGGTATCTTGGTATTTATTTCGTATTTTGAAGCAGCAAGAGGTACTGTATTATGATTTGGCAAGATTAGCCAAATTGGTCACAGAGCTACAACTGTTTGTCAGTTGCACCGGCTTCTGTTTGTTAGTTACAGTCTACACCGGCTACAACTACTGGCGATTGTAATGGTACTATAAAGCCTCGAGTAAGAACACGACGGAGCTAGGCCACAGATCCATTCCATTCCATATCTGACAACTGAAACTGGTGATACTGACTTTATTTCTCTTGTTCCATTTCATATATGGCAAAAGGTAATCCTTGTAGTAAATATCAAAATACATTTTAATATATTATTGTATTTACTTTGGATTGACTTGCCATATGTGTGGCATGGATCAGTAGTATTATAAATTTTACTCATAAAATTTGTGGCTTTCCATGTTTCAGTTCCAAAGAGAACTTTGTGCTTGAATTGGAATTATAGTTGATGCCTCTGGTCTCCATTGGAATTATAATAGATGCCTCTACTAAAAGAAAACCTGCGGATAGAAAGGAAGATGCTCTGCATTGTAAAATACAAGAAAATGCACAGAAGATAAAAACAAGGAACAAGTAGTAGCCGTCTTGAAAGGAAATCAAGCAAATATTCTATAGCAATGTGATTTCTCCATAGGTTTCTACCAGACAGTTGCATGAAAAAAACACCATGGATCAATAAGTTGTATTTGAACAATTTATTTTCAATATTATAATGATTATTCTTTATATTAATAGATTGAGTTTTACATAAGGCCTAAATGGCAACTTAGATATGATCTAAGCCGGCGGTTCAGACGGCGGTCCAGACTGCCGCCTAAAGGAGTAGGCCACATTTTTGCAAAGCTATAGCCGGCGGTTCTGACCGCCACCTAAAAGAGTAGGGTTTTTTTACCAAAACCTACACCGGTGGTCCTTGGTGTCTACGCCGGTGGTTTACACCGCCGGCACACATGTAAATTGCAAATCAAGCTGGCGGTCTGCTTTTACTTGTACCAGCGGTCTATAATGTCGGTATTTATAATATATTTAAAAAAATATTTATTTATTTTTTTTACTTTACTGATGTTCCTAAACTGCCGGTATAATATAGGATGGCCAACAATTCTGGCAAACCACCGGTAGTGGCTTAATTTAATGGTCAAAATTGGTACCCCCTTTACTGGCGGTTTCGAATAGATGTTTGGGTGGTCACGACTTTCCCCAACGGTGGTTATACTAGCAAAATAAAGACCACTGGTAAACCGCCGGCTAAAAGCAATGCTGGCGGTTTGTAGTGCAGACCTACCAATTAGGATCACTTTCTCCATAACCAGCTCTGTCAAATGACACAAAATATATTCCCAATTCGTCTATGAGTGATAATCTAGAATTGAAATTTTATGCCATGTTGTTGAGGTACCCAAGAGGCATTCTTTTGAAAGTGAGAAATACAACTAAAGCACAAATGGATCCTAGAGCCTTAGGTGCAAGGTGAGGCGCAAACACTCTAACAAAGTGATAATCCATTATTGAAAAAGTGATAACAGAAAATTCAATGCATTCTAGAATATGCAGCCTTTCTTGCAATCTGTTTCTAACTGTTTGTTTGTGTAAGGTTTGAGGGCAAGATGTGTCTGTTTCTATCTGTTTTTATCTTTTTTTTTTGGTTCTAACCACCTTCATTATATAGTCATTCTCTGTGCATGAGCTATACTTGTACATGTTTCTAATACAATCTCAAAAAAAAAAAAAAATAAATAAATAAATAAATGCTTGCATGATGGGGGAATATTGTTGAATGAGAGTGGAAGCCAAATGAAAATACCAAGCACGAGGGGCTTGCTTGAGCCCATACAGGGCCTTCTTCAGCTTACAGACATAGTTTGGGTAGTTAGGATGTTCAAACCCCTTGGATTGGCGAACATAGATGTCCTCTGCTATAAGTCCATGAAGAAAAGCATTGTTGATGTCTAGTTGCTGTACAAACCACCGATGAGTAGTGGCAAGGGCTAAAATGGTACGAACAGTTACTGGTTTGACTACTAGACTAAAGGTATCAGTGAAATCAATACCAGGTACCTAATGAAAACCTTGGGCAACAAGTCTGGCCTTGTACCACTCCAAAGAACCACTTGACTTCCTCTTAATTTTATACACCCATTTAGTACCAACTACGTTCATGGAAGAATGGTACGACACGAGATCCCATGTTTGATTTTTCAAAAGAGCATCGAACTCCAGTTGCATAGCCGACCTCCATTGGGGAGACTTGGCTGCTTCTGTATAGGAGTGGGGCTTCGGTTCAGAGGAGAGAACTAAGTAAGGCGATTGGAATGAGATATCGAGTAGTGAGATGTGATCGAGCAGGGAGAGTGCCATCCATAGAACAAGTGGTCATAGAGTGCTGCCGAGTGGGTGGTGGTATAGCTGGTGTGTGAGCCAACAAGTCCTCCATTGTACAAACTATGGATAGGAGCTTGTATAGGAGAAGAGTTCTCAGCCGAATCGGAAGTGGTGCGATTAGGAAGAGGTGCTGCATCTAGTGACTGAACTAAAGGTGGAGATACCCGAGATGCTGGGATATGTGAAGGTACATGTAGATAGAATCCCGGTTAAGGTGGGCGATGGAGCTGGAGGAATTCCAGGAAATAGACCTTTATCGAATACCACATGGCGGGTAATAAATTCTCAACTTGTCGACGGGTGAAGTGTTAGACAGTATATGCCCTTAGCTTCAATCAGCATGATGTACATTATGACATTTATTGTAAATGAATAAAGTACATATTTGATTCGTGTTATTATGGTGTGTTTCTATGTAATACCCTTAAACTAGACACATATGAGACTCGTGTTAGTTTAAAATCTTCACAGCAATTGGATAAATCTAGAGAGATTTATCCTGCCAAGGCTGACACTGACGTACCACCAAGTTGGTTAGGGTGGCTTGTCTTAGCAGCCAAGGTGAGACATGAGGCACATGTAGTGTGAGTTTTCTTGAAACCCTGAACCGGACCAAAATTCTAGTATTGCCCTGGACCTTGGAGATAGATGGGCAAAACTGAAATGTTACACATGACCCCTAGACTCAATTATGATACAACACTAGGTGTCAGATTGGGCTGTCTTTGACATGCCAATCAATGAGATCCTTAGAGGGGGTCAAAAACTGGGTATGTTGGAACAGTCCGAGAATTCATCTGAGTGTGTGATCATATTGACAAGATCAGCCCCTTTGTCGGACAAAGTGAATGATCGGGGATGTACTCTCTCTGATGGAAACCCAAATTACCGGCAATTAATTTCAATCGTTGAAATTTGTTTTTGCAAAATATATTTATATAGAGATATACATACATATATATATATATATATATTATGGTTTCAAAGTGTGTGCAAAAGGTTTTAATTCCCGGGATCCATGTGAGTAGAGAGTGCAGCACTGCACCTTGCAACCAAGGGAGAGGTCCTCTCTTGTCGGACAGTGTTTGTTCATTATGGGCTGAGAGTTAAGTGTAAGACCATTGACGATTATACCTGATGGGATAATCTAGCATCTGCCCACAGTCCTTGGGCCTTCATAAGATGGCTGGACTCAAGGACCATTTAGTGTAAATGTTGGACCCATTAAGAGCCCATAGTGATGGACTCAGGGGTTCACTGTATTCAGTAGTGAAGTCGGCCAGACTTTATAACATAGGCTAGGTTGAACCCATGTGGCTGATGTGTAGATCAACGATAGGGTTCCATGCCATACAAAGAGAGCCAAGCTAGCCAACATCAAAGTAGAAGTGAGCTTGAAAGCTTAATGGGCCCAAAAACCCATTTTGAATTGGGTTAATTGGATTAATTAAATAGGGTCGGATATGGGATTTGGATCAACAAATAAGATAAGAGATTATCCTTATCCACTTGAAGGGTCTAGATCCAAATAAAGATTTGGATCAGAGGAACTCCTAATTTGATTAGGAAGGCTGATCTTTATCTACAGATAAGATAAGGGATTATCCTTATTACTTAAAGAGTCTAGATCCAAATAAAAGATTTGGATCAGGAAACYCCTAATGAGATTAGGAAATTGTCTCTTTAAGGCTATAAATAAGAAAGCAGGGCGAACCTTCAAAACACACTCACTGAATATAGAGAGGAGACCACACATTTAGACTGATCTTGCCTTTCGCTATTTTTCTTCCTGCTCTTGCCGCCCTACCCTGTTCAATATCCAGTTCTTGGATTGGATCAAGATTTGATCTTGATATTATTTCTAGCCAGAAGAAACAATTTAGAAGCTGTGCTCACTGTCCCATTTGATTCTTGCTGAAGAATCACTAGTTCTTAGTGAAGAACTACCTGCTGATCCTGCCTCATCCCAAGCTGCGTCATCTTTAGTGGAGGGAGGATTTGGTACTCTCTTTGGGCGTGAACACCTATGTTGGGAGGAGCATTCTTGCATGGATTTCGTATCAGGTATATCCCTCCCTTGATTTAGTTTCAGATTTGGTCTAGTTTGGTTACAAGAGCGAACCTTGAAAATGCAGTTTTCTAAATTGGGAATAGGATTCCCGGATGGGAGTAAAGATTTTTTTTTGAAATTTCGCCCAACTTTCCTATAGGGTTTTTCCATCCATATGATGGATCTCCCATCCCTTCAGTGGTATCAGAACTAGGTTCAAGTCTTGAACCAAATTAGAACAGATCTGAATTTGCGCAAATGGGCAGAAGGCGTTCTACCCAATTTGCGCAATTAGCATTTTTTTTAGGAATTGGTTCCCAGATTATGGGCGGATAATCTGAAAAATAAATCTTTATTATTCTGTCATATTTATAGTATTGTTCCATGAATGTTTCTTGAATATTTGGTCTGCACATATGATGGAGATCGAATCTTTTTGGTGCCAAGAATGACACACCCTACGATTTCTTTTCTAATCAATTATGGTCTATAAATATATATATTTTTTTATTTTTAGACAAATTGTATAGGAATTCGATGTGATGTAATAATAGAAAAATTAGGTTTTTCTATTTTATTTCCATCTGGAGATTGCTGGAGCACGCAACAGAGGAGAGGAAGATTTTGCAGAAACAACTTCTGCGATATGTGGTTTTGCAGATATCGATTATGCAATCTGCAAATAATTGTTCTTTGTAGGTTTGCAAGATATCCAAGAAAATCACGATGCAGCCCTCTATTTTAGTTTCTTGATAACCTAATTATCTTGAATTAATTTATTTTCAGATCATTATTCTTGAATTAAATCTTGAACTGGACACCAAAACTTGGGCCAATTTACACCAGATTTGGTCCAAACTGGTTGGACCGAATTGTTGGTTCGATGGGGTAGGCTTTTCTAACCCTAATTCGATTTAGGCTAGAGGGTTGATGGCCCACTTTAAGTTTTAATTCGGACCACCTTTGTAAAACCTAAATTTAATATGATAAAACTGAATCAGCCCTAATCTAGCTACATGGGCCAAACTGCTTTTTGCAGTACAACCCATGTACCTAGATAATGTTATATGATAACATTATGGGCTCTGTTGGGATGATACTGATTTAATCTAATTAATTAATGATTTTACAGATGTTTTAATTGATTGGATCAATTTATTTCATGCATGTGATGTATGAATGTGTGATGTGCTACGTATATGGACCATAAGTACTTGGCCCATGATTATTTCGA